TTTCCCCCCTTTTTGTAGAACACAGCCCATATGATATCATCCATTATGCTATTGTTTCCCTTTTTGATTATATAAGGGAATTCTCATATATTTTCATTTTATAAGCACACACATAACTACTACATCTTCTCACTCAGCAGTGAGGCAAAATGATAACCTCAAGGAGTACCCAAAAGATAACTGATGAGGTTATACCAATACATGAACTTCTCGAACATATTAATATTAAGACTTACTATGAACAAAATAACAAAAATTTAAAGTTTCATACTTTCTCACTCGATCATACTAAAAACTCGGATTTGAATTTAACTAAAATAATCAGTTTACCTGCCACTTCACATGGATTGATCTCAGCAATCATCCATGCTTATACTCTTCACCAACATCTTCGAATATCACCAGACGATATATGGTTAACAATTGCGCAAGGTGTTAGTAAGCATATCTGGCTTAATAGAGAATGCCTTCGTCACTTGTTTGTCGACCATGAGGGCAAAAAAAAGATCGAAGTTGATGCGCGTCATCTTTTAAAATATAAAGATAAAGTTATTTATGGAGATTGGCTTCAAGTAATTGAACAACTTTCAAATGCCGTTGATAGACAAGTTAAAATTATGGATTTGAAACAACTCTTCGAATGTGATTTTTCAACTTCAACTAAAGCATCTATTACTGCAAGTAGAATTGTCTTGTTAGATTCAACAAAAGCGTATTTTCGTTGCCGATTGCGTGGTGGTTGTGGTATTCCAAAGGTTACTCTTGAAGGTGCATTAACAGATTGGTTTCATCTTCAAGATAAAGTCAACAAACTTCGTGATTTAGGACTTAATCTTGATTTCTGGTTAGATAGGTTGGAACCAGTCATTGCACAATTTATTGACACATATAAAGGAAATGTTGATGAACGTTTTTGGAACATGGTTGTTTCTCAAATTCCCTTAAGTACTTTTGAAACGACTGATAGATGGTCAGGATGGATAAGTTCTTTGCTTCCATATACTAAGCAAATGCGTAAAATTACAAATAATGTGATTATTCCTGATGATGTGCCTTCTGGATTGGTAAATGTTCCATTCGAATTTAAACTTGAAGGAGGAAAATTACATTTCGATTTGAAGTGTTCTGCAGGATTTCTAGGTGCTAGGCAGGATATAATTGATGGTGAATATATCGTTTCTTCCGTTATTGGTTGGCATATTGTTGATCAAAATTGAAAATTTAACATAAGAACAGTATGTAGTGTATGTGTGAACACATCTTTCTTATATTTCTCAATCACTAGTCTATATTTTTAAATGTATTTATCTCAAAGTTTAATACAATGAATTATCTTTTTCGTGTTAACAAAAAGTTTTCGATGTGCGAAATCATTATTGCATATTCTATTTTCTAATTTTTATCCTAATTGAAAGGATCCTTATAAAAGTTATTTATTTATTTATTTTGATCATTTTTGGAAATTTAAACAATTAAGTTCATTGCAATTGGGTAATTAATTGGCTTATGAAATTCGGAGTGTCGACCAAGTAGCCTATCTGTAAAGCATGTAATGAATGTTGAAGTTAGAACTTGTTAACCATTGTCATATTATAGAATTCCCTTAGTTTGAATTAATAAGGACCCCTGAGACGCTTAAGAGATAATGAAGCGATCTTAAAGTTAATAAAGGGGATTGAGTGAATAATAAATAAAAAAAGCTTTAAACTGAAACCTAAAATAAAACGTATACCTCGACTTAGTCGCCAAAACCGTTAAATTTAATATAAATACTTTTTTTAATAATGTTAAGCAAAGTTTCGACTATGAACTCTCTATGATTAATGCAGAACCTTAAATTTCTTAAGGCGCAGTAACTGTATAGTAACTGTAGATACGATTAAATTTATTGTAATTACTATATCATTACTATGTAGTTACTTCACCTTAAGAAGTTTAAGATTCTGTAAAGATAGGATTTTTAATTCATTATATCGTTTCTGCCTGTCACATTGAAACATGGTTTATCTCAAGGTTCGATAAGAAGTAAATTAAAAAGTCCTGCTGATAGTTTCATTATTATTGTTCTGCAATTGCGATTGTTTCATTAAATCTTATTAACTGTTCAAATTGTATGACTTTTTTGCCAAATTCATAGTAACAATAATTAAATTTTTTTATTTATCGGTGTTATCGATATAGTAAAATTGGTTTATTTACAACGCTGATTTGAAAATTAGTGGGACACGTTGTGATGATTATTTTTCGGTTACACAAGTGTAGTTTTTGATACGTAAAAAGAATTGAAGAATTACTGTGAAATTGGTTACGAAAATCCTTCGTTCTTTAATTGTTTGGGAATGCGAGAAATGATCATGGCGATTATATTATTGTTATGATAATATACTAAAAGGTTTGTTGCTGAAAAAAATTATCACAATTAGAATGGAAAGATAAATCGAATATTTTATACTATAGCTTTGTATTTTGAGTCGATTCATTCTCAGAAATTCGTTCACAGAAATTTACACAGCGGAAATATTTTAAAAGTCTTTTAAATAGCGTACATATCATTGACCTTGAACTTTCTAAAAAAGTGGCGGAAGGAAAATTTTGTTGAATCCTGCCCTGAGATTTTGATGGGTCAACCGTATACTCAAGCATCAGATATTTACAGTTATGAAGTTATCGCAACAGAGATTTCGACAAAGAGCATTTGATGGAATTCCATTTTATGATTACTTGGGATTAAGACCTAAGTGTTTAGAACCAGAATGTTATATTAAATTAGCAATGAAATGTATGGATAAAGATTTTGATAAACGCCCTACTGCAACTGAAATTGTTGAAATAATCAATGAAATAGATCAGGAAGATGATAATGAAATT